TATCATGCACTAACTGGTATTAAAAACCAAAGAAGCACTGTGAAGGAACTGACTAGACTGGACGTTTCGTCCACAAATGAGTGCCAAATTTAGGACGGGACAACGGAAGACACGGAGTTGCAGTGCTGTTTAAATGGGTTTGAAGTGATTTATGCCGTTAATAATTTGTGCAATGTGTTTTAAGACGGAGAATAAAGTTATGGCTCATGTTTGTATTTACAAACACAATCTGCTCTGCTCAACAGCTGTGCACTTATGTACTGATTGCATGGTATCAAAAGCTTGTAGTATTTAGTTATCAACCTGCACTAATTAAGTATGTATGTATAAATATATCATTATATAAAGCATCAAACGCTTCTGTAGTTTTATTTTATTGACATTTCTTTGAACATGGTGATATTAGATACACAGTGTAAAACTGTAGACTGAAAACCGAAATAAAAATTACTCCTTGTTTATAGAATTAACAGGATTTAAGAAATAAAACTTAAATCATATCTAATATTAGTAAATCAGTCCGTTTGAAGATCACTCACATTCTTAAAAATCAACATTATGCATGACAATGTGAAATCATAGGCTACCGTTAGAGTGAAAGCAAAATCCAAAAGGTCTGAAAAGTTTCAGTAAATCTTTGTATTTACATGACATTAAAACCTGGACGAGGCTGAGCAGACAGCGACATTTGACCTGTAAATCAGAAAATATCAAAATTCCAAGGACAGAATCTGAATGGATTTAAATTGCAGAGTGAGACGTTCACTCTTAAATTCTTGTCAAAGGGAAAAAAGAACCAGCTATATACACAAATACAGTTGAAATTCCCCCATGGTCAGCCAAGAATAATAATAATAATAATAAAAAACAAACCAAAAATCTTTAAAGCTATCTCAGATAAAATCTCCATTAAAATGAACCCTCTGTAATTAAAAAGCGTAAATACAGTTGGTTCCTTGACTACCTCTGATATGTTTGTCCTATTTTTAGTCTCATAAAAGGACCATAAAAAACAAAAGGCAACAGCAGCTCGGGTTAAAAGTGACTGTTGTCCAAAGCCACGATCATACCCATCATTATCATTTTTAATAAAAGAGGCAAATTACCAGAGAATTCCTATTTACGTTTCTCCCTGTACAGTTCTGTATTTGTTTTTTTTTCTGTGCAACTAATGTGGTTATAGGCATGGCTTCACCTTGATTTCAAATTAAACTGTGTAGAATACCCTTATGTCTCCATTAATGATAAATAAATAGCTTTTCATATGATAAGCCTCTATCATTACAAACTGTTCACTTCACCCTACGACAAACATTTCTAAAGATATCCACCTTTGATAAATACACTTTAGTGCTGTTAAACATTTCACCTCAGACACTGCTGAATGTTCAGTGTGTTAATATATACACATAATTGCTTGCGCGGTGCTCTGTTAGCTTCAGAATTCCTCATGAAATGGCATGGTCTGGAATTTAAATGTCCTGTTTTTTACAAAAGATTCTTTTAGTAATAGTGCAGGTTTAAAGAAAAAATAATGGTCACATCATGCATTTTTAGTAATGCATGAATAGTGTAAATGCCCTCCAAGAGGCATTTGAGACTAATATTGTGGAGATGGTTTGAATCACGAGCGTAAATGCATCTGGTTGTTCAGGTCACATCTGTAAATGTCGGTTGTCCTAAATGGAATTACACCAGCTTACAGATGTTTGGGATTGCATATGCAATCCACATAATGTTCATTTGCCAAACCGGGCAAATATACTGTACAGAAACATATGGAAGTAAACAATGTTGTGTTTGCATATAGTTTGGGAGTAGGTTTATAGTTGGATTTATATGCGTTTTGCAGAAACACCTTTATGTGGATAACAATATGACTGATCATGATGCATGACGTGACCTTGAAGGTTATCCATTATTCTGTAAATAAATTTTAAATTAAAATTTTTAATTTAGCATTTTGATCCCAATCTAGTTAGAGTACATCTGCAGCATTGCCACATGCATTTTCTTCATCACAAGCCATCCTCATATTGATAAAGAATATACTTTATCACACTCCGAGCATTTGAACTGCTATATAAAATGTCAGACATACATAATAAACACATACAAACTCTTAAGTATGGAACACACTATTGTGCCACATTGTCAAATTCAATCCATGGCTTATTAGAGCGAGTGGTTGGCCGTCTTTTGTACCAACAACGGCTCACTGGACAGATTTACACTTGAGGAAGACAATTGGTGATGCACAGTGTGTTCCATTAAAAATACTCCCACCCAGCACTTCCTGTACCCGAGACATTAGATCACTTCACAGCCACAAGCAGGTGCTCTAGATTCGGAGCTGACTAATAAAAATGCTTATCTGAGAAACAATAACATCGAGTCTTTCCCAAGTGGGCACAAACATGTAAAATCTGCTCTAGTTTCATGCCACTTTTCTACCCACGACCAAGCTGCTCGCATAACAGATCCAATGATATATGCAGCATTGCCACATGCATTTTCTTCATCACAAGCCATCCTCATATTGATAAAGAATATACTTTATCACACTCCGAGCATTTGAACTGCTATATAAAATGTCAGACATACATAATAAACACATACAAACTCTTAAGTATGGAACACACTATTGTGCCACATTGTCAAATTCAATCCATGGCTTATTAGAGCGAGTGGTTGGCCGTCTTTTGTACCAACAACGGCTCACTGGACAGATTTACACGTGAGGAAGACAATTGGTGATGCACAGTGTGTTCCATTAAAAATACTCCCACCCAGCACTTCCTGTACCCGAGACATTAGATCACTTCACAGCCACATTGCTTGTTGTTGCAAGCAGGTGCTCTAGATTCGGAGCTGACTAATAAAAATTCTTATTTGAGAAACAATAACATCGAGTCTTTCCCAAGTGGGCACAAACATGTAAAATCTGCTCTAGTTTCATGCCACTTTTCTACCCACGACCAAGCTGCTCGCATAACAGATCCAAAAAATGATATATGAGAACAAAAATTAATGGTAACGCATTGTTTACACTTAGTAAAGGCATTGAATAATATATCAAGGGATGTATTCATGTATCCACTGTTGAAATAAAAATGAGGTGGAAATCAATGTAGAGCAGTGTTCAGTGTGCCATAGCAGACTTAAAGACAAGGCACAACATCTTAAAGGGGTACTGTCACAAAAGCGAGGTGTGCTGTGATTGGCCAGCTATCCAGTGCGTTGTGATTGGCCGAATACCTCTAGCGTGAGACGGAAATGTTACGCCCCTCACATACTGTTGATGCCGTGTCCGGCCGGAGCGACGAGTCTTAACTTTTATAAAGAATATCTCTTTGGATTTGAGACTTTAGTCTTTGCAACTTTACAGATCTTCTTTATGCACCAAGAGCTTGTAACACTCCAAAGAGAAAGGAAAAATTTAAATCGCATCATATGACCCCTTTAAGAGTAGAAAATGTTTTTGCCTTAAGAGTAGAAAATAAAACAGTTATTGTGAGATTTAATTCAGAAGTCACATTTTGAGAGAGAAAGTCAGTGAAATATAAATGTGCAATTGCAAAATAAAAATTTGCAACTGTGAGATGTAAAGTCACTTTGTAAATTATGAAGCCACAAATGGGAGATACAAAGTTGGAAATAGGTGAAATAAAGTCACAAATGTGAGATATACAGTATGTCGCAATTAATTAATTTTTTTACTCCGAGACAAAACCAGCCTTCCATACAAGTCATTAAAGGCGGGCGTAAAGGGTGTGGGTGACTTGTCCAGTCTTGCATGTGAAAAAATGATTGAGAGTTCGCGCAACAGGCTAAAAATCGTTCCTCGTATGCCTTTCTTGAATCATTAAGTTCTCAAAAATTGTTTTTGCTACGCACATTAAAGTTCATAGTTGCATTGCACTGAAAGTTTGCTCTATTTTGTCTTTCGAATCAGTGGTTACATGATGGATCCCCTTTTAAGAAGGCCCAAAAGCTTTAAGAAGACCATTCAAAGAGGGTGAAAATCTTCGGAAAGCAAGGGTTTAGAGAAAAATTTTCTCATGCCCACAAAACCTTCAACAGACTATTAAGGACTATTCAGAAAACATTTATGTTCATTGAAATGTATTAACAAAATTATGATCTCCAAGTGGTTGATCTTTTGGGCAGATGTACATATGGCAACTACAGAAGTGATGTAATGTCACAAACACCATGCCAATGAAGCCAGCTCAGTGTAAAAATATGGTAAAGCTTGAATAGATGCTCAAACCATTGGAGACACATTAGAAACCTAAAAGAAGATGCCAGGTAGTTTCTGTTGCAGATCCATGCTCCACTGAACTGTGAATACAATATGTACACGATTCTCTGCGGAATAAACAAAAAATGGCTTTTTGTGTAGCTAAAAATGCTCTTTCCACAGAGAAAAATAAAATGGATTTTATAACATGCAACCTAAATGGCGGGCCGGTGTCCTGCAAAGTTTAGCTCCAACCCTAATCAAACACTCCTGAACCAGCTAATAAAGCTCTTACTAGGTATACTTGAAACTTCCAGGCAGGTGTGTTGAGGCAAGTTGGAGCTAAACTCTCCAGGACAGTGGCCCTCCAGGACCGAGTTTGGTGACCACTGTGTTAAGGCAAAAATATCAGTGAAACCCCAATATCAAATGATAAACTGTGTGCTAAGTGAAGCCTTATAGGGAGTCTCGCCAAATCTACCATCTTAATATTGTGATTAAGATGCTACAAACCTTTTCACGCGAACTCGAATTTACGAGCGTCGATTTAACTCATTCTGACATCTTTTGTAGTTTTTGTGGTTCTTAAAACGTTGTTTGAATTATATATATATATATATATATATATATATATATATATATACGCCTGAAGCTTTGTCAGGTTAATCCAAAAAAGTTCCATTTGAAATTCTGAAAACATCAATTACATCTCAGCTCCTTCCAATGTGCAATGTATCAGATCCATTCCCACAGTAGATGAGCACAAAGAGATGTGTTAATATGGTACAGTCAGACACACTTCACCGTTAAATAGCACAGTCAAACCAATAAAAGCACCCGACAGACATTTTTGAGCTAAGTGTTAGACGATCCACACCGAACACATGAAATTGAAGTCACTGCAACGTAAGACATACAGCATATTACGTTCATTCGAAGAGGACGGATGAACCTTTGAGAGATCATCTCCTGTAGGCAACGGTAACAAAGCTATTTCATATTCAGATGTGTTCATTGTTCATGTTCCTGCCTGGCACCAGTGTTTCAAATATTACACTTGGTGAAAAGGTAAGGTCGTAACAGGAGACTGTGCAAGATGGTTGGAAATATGACTAATAAAAGCAAAATATAATATAAAGATTGGAAGAAATCAGGCCTTATTCCAAAGAACCAAATTGTGCCTATTATGACACAAAATTACTCTCCTATAAAGACCTAATGCCATCAAAAAGAGGTCCTCTTTTGTTGCGGACTGATAAAACAGCAAAAGAAGAAAAGGAATAGAGTACAGTAGCGAGTGGGAGGAGGTGTTAAGACTGCCCTAGTTATTATAAATCGTTCTTCCTACTCTGTGGAAATGGGTAGGCAGGTGAGGAAAGGGAAAAATGCAAACATTCGAATGATGTTATGAAGCTAATTAGTTTGAAAATGCCTCCTATCCACCAATAAAAAACATGTTGAAGTCTCCCAGGAGTGCCAGCGGTGAACCTTTTACCCCGTAAATGAAAAAGACTGCAAGAAGACTTTTCTATGGCCTTTCTACCTACATGGTTTTCAAGTCATTCCTTGTTGTTTTGCTCGTTTCATTTCTTTGATAATACTTGAAATTCATGTACAAGTTTATGTTGTGAACCAGACAAGGATTTGCTGGCATTTCGCAAATCTGCGGTTCCTCTAACTCTCCTGGAGAAGAGAAATTCTCGGTCAAATTGGAGTGATGGTTCCTGACCGTTAAGACTTCATCTGGTTAGCATAACGCCAGGGCACAACTTCAAACGTTCAATCCCCAGATGATTTGTCCGTTGGGCTCATGCTAAAAAATTGCAATATTTGTTAAGTCTTGTCTCAAGTGGGAAGGAAGAAGATACTCCCTTGCCTCGTCATTTGTTCCCGTTCCGACAAGGTAGTTCAGAAAACAGGCACTGGTCAAACCTCAGCATAGTAGCCCTCACTTTTGTTCTCAAGCGTTTGGGGTCCATCGCGCCCCCCAGTCCGTCATACCCACTCCTGCACGGGGTGTTTGTAGTAGGTCACTTGCTGTTGGGCGTTTTTGTTCTTGAACTGGAAGATAGTATATACAAGGACCAGAATGCACAGTGAGAGGATGCACGGGATGACCACAGCGATTGCGTTTACAGTGCTGGGTACGTCATTAATGGCGACCATGATGTCGACGTCATCGTGAGGGAGGTGACGGTCCTTGTTCTTTTCTACTTCCGATTGATCGCAGCCCATCCAGTCTTTGAGGATTGATTTTGGGTAGCCTGGCTCCACTGTTAACTTCTGGTTATCGAACTTCCAGTAGTCCTTTCCCTTGTAAAAGTAGGTATAAACTAGAAAAAAATCAAAGAGAGACAAAATAAGATGTCAGTTCATTTCCATAACCAGAATTCTACTATTGGTCAACAAACAGATAGTCCTGGCCCCAAAATCACCCGAAATCATTTGAGTAGTATATTAATTGGCATAATTTTATGACTGGAAACTGATTGCTGATTACTGATCGGAATGAGTTATGAGTTAACTTACAAAAACAAGTTAAATCATTAACTGTTAAGCTAAAGTTGTAAACAAACAGTTATAAACATGAACAGACCAATCATAGAAAGCCATTCATTATCCACCTTATTTTTCAACGCAGAAGTAAGCTGCGATGCTTCTGATTCATTAGGCGCAATAGGGAAATAACGAGAAGAATATCAAAGTGCAGTAAACGGTTAAACTGTATGTGCTACAAACCAGTGCGTGTTTATAATTAAGACAATACATATGCCAGTTTGCAGTTTCAAGCAGCATAACAAGCTGTTTTGTACAGCTAAAAATAACTGGAAGCGAATGACACCGGAAGCTAGACACATTAATTTTATAAATGGCCACGCCCATTCTAACGTGAAAAATAAGGTGGATAGACCTTACGTAGCTCCGCCCCTTTTCAGCGCTGCACTTGTTGTTTTCTGTCTTCCATTTGTATTTCCACAGCGTGAAGCTAAGGTCGTACGAATTTATGAATGAACCACTCATTTTAAAATCATCCAGTCTACTGACATTTATGATATCTGCTTTGAACATTACAATGCACATGATAACTTTTGTTAACTCTACAATAAGTAAATCCACTTCACCCGCTAGTTACTATTTAACAGTGATGCTATAGAGCTGCCGCAAAACCAGAAGTTCAAAGACAAAATTCTAAAGATGGCTGTGCACTGTTTCTCTGGCGCATAAGGTCAATAAGCAAATATTTCTCTTTACATGCAGGCAGAGATGCACGTCCTTTTCAGAACGCTCAATTCATATTCATGATCACAAACACATCTGTCCTTGTGAACACTCAATGACACAGTATTTCAAACAGTTGTTCCAGTGTTATACATTTCCTCAGAGAGCTGTCAGTCTGATTGCCAATGCCACATAAACAGATGCATTCGCGGCACTCAAACCGAACCTATACGAACACAGACCCAAAACTAAACGTAAATACTGTGAGTAAGCTTTAGACAGCAACCCCTGAGAGTGTGACTGATGAAGTGCTCGTCCTTCCTCTCTAACTTTCCCTCTTACTCGTGATCTTGCCGAGCAAGACGTACCGAATCCCTCTTGCAAAATCTGAGTGACAGAAAAATCATGAGCTACGGGCAAACCAAACAGCCCATATAAACCCTCTTGGCTTCTCCATCTTGTGTTCTGGCCCTAGGCTCCATGTTGAGGTTATGACATGACTCGCAGAAAAGATGATCATTCCTTCACTGGATAATACTCTAGAGAGGAGGAGAAATCTGCAATTCTATGCAGCCACAGCAAAAATACTTGACTCTAGTGAATGACACTTGAGGATTTACCATTCAACCAGACTGACACTAGCAACAACATCAACCCAACAGCAAAAGTGAGAACAACTGTTTCTCGCTCATCATCCATAGTCAGTAGCCCATTTTATTTTCTATAGTGCTAAACTGTAATTTTGATTCTGATTATTTACAAATCCCCTTTTATTCACATTTTAGTTATATATTCAATATTTTGTTGACAATACAACATGAACCAACATATGGAATATTAGAATGTTTTTAGCAAATATTTTATATATTTTATCAATTAAAATAAAATTATCAATTTATAAATTTATGTTTATAAAATGCATATGGAATTTTACATTTGAAAATGTTTTAGTATTTTTTTATATTTCAAATATAAATATAGAAAATATTGCAGTTTATTACAATATTGTTTTTATAAAGTATTTTATAAAATATTTTTTTATATATATTTATATATTTTTTTTACAAATATTTAATAAAAATCTTTATTAAAGTCAAACGGAATTGTACATGTTTTAAAATGTTTTAGTTAAAAATATTATTTTAAATGTTTAAAATATACATTTATAAAATGTGGTTTATTACTATAACGGTGCATATAAAAACGTTCAAATAAAATTCTCGCTCAACATAGATTTCTCATGTATTTCATTTCTTTCTAGTATTCTCAAGCTACTTAGCAACCATGTTTCAGTCTTTTTTGACTGAAAAAAGCCATTTCAGAGCAAATACATTAGCACTGGCATACATATTGAATGCCTTCAAAAGCTATTTATATCTAATATTGTTTTTTAGCTACATTGCCTAGTCATAGTATCACTTTAAAAGAATTAAACCACATTCCCCGTTCACATAATACATTCCAATGATTTCCAATCATTTGGACATTATGTTCCCTGCATTAAAACACTGAAGGTCATATGATCCATTATATTAGCTCTCTACCGTAAACATAACATCACATAATAAAGTATCTTGCTACAGTCAGCTGCCATTTTGCTATATTTGTAATCATGCATCTATTGTGAATTTTAACACCCAAAAGTTGTGTCTGTCTTTTTGTGTCTCCGGACCCTGTGCCAATCCAGACCTGCTATCAGATCACCACTGAGGATGAGTCAGAGCCAAAACAGTCACTGTGTCAATACAATAATATTGCAGCGCTGCGCCAAACAAACACTAATCAATTACTCTACAAGGATGAGCGAAGAACAAGACCTCAGTGCATTTATTACTATTACCTACTCAATAAAATACATAAGCATGCTGCGACAGATGAATACTGTGTCAAAATAGCAGCAGCAGACGATGATAAAATACACTAACATGCAATAAACAGTTAAATGCATTCATAATAATCTGAATAAACCATTCTTTCTCCAAGTAATATCAATCATGCTTACCATTCCCAAGCAACACCGCATTAATATTGAATGTGCGGTTTCAGGTGTGCATTTATTGCCATTTTAAATCTGCTTTGAATGCAGTTCATCCAATGACAACTATCTATTTTATAAAGCTTCACTTATTATAATGGGAGTTGCATTGCACAACAGATTAGACCAGTACTACACACTCGAGAACGAAGCTCAACCAACTTGAACTTCTCAAACCAGAGGAAAGCAGTCAGATAAAATGCCCACCGACCACATGGCTGATTGCCACATTAAATATTGATCGGTTATTGGAACCTCACTGACTCACATCCTTCTCGACTGATGAAGGCTCCTTGCGGGGCATCAGGGATGCCCTTCCAGACACTGATGGGTTTGGGATAGCCTGGGTCAGCCGTACGCTTCTCCTCATTGTAACGCCAGTACTGGTCGCCCTTGAAGAAGTAGGTTTTGCCCACAGGTTCCCAGCGTAAGGCTGTGTCGATGCCATCGTGGGGCAGACAGTTGCCCAACTCTACCAGGCTGTGAGGATACCCAGGTTCTGCTGTAACCTCCTTGAAGACCCAGTATTTATCCCCTAGAGTCAAAACAACAGGCAGAAAAACATCAGTAGATAAGGTCCAAATTCAATGGGTTATATTGAATTATACTATCACATAATGAAACAATGTGCTTATCTACGCCACATGTTTGGATATATATGGAAGCTTATTTCCACCAACGAATAAAAAAATAAAAAAGGTATTGCAACATTTTATGTAACCATTCAGTCTGTTTTTCCTTGCAATTCTGAGTTTATATCTCACAATTCTGACTTCTTTATCCTGCAAGATATAATTGCATGATAATGGCCCGGTTTCACAAACGGGGATTAGCTTAAACCAGGACTAGGCCTTAGTTAAATTAAGATATTTAAGCAACTTTTACAAAAATGCCTTAGAAGAAAACATTACAGGTGTGCATCTTGACACAGAACAATGACATTGACATATTTTAAGATATGTCAGAGCAAGATATTTTCAGTTGAGATAGCTCAAACATGCATTTTAGTCTGGGACTAGCTTAAGCCTTGTCTGTGAAACCGGGGGATAAAGTCAGTATTTTTAAATAAAAACTTGAAACTCTGAGAAGGGGAGTCCGAATTGTGACAATCTTATTTCCGTTAAGGAGTAAAAAAAAAAAAAGGTAATTGCAAATTTTTCTTTTCTTGTAATTCTGAGTTTACCTCTCACAATTCTGACTTTTCTTTTCTCCCGCGAGGTACAAAGTCATTGGTTTGAGTGAGATATAAACTCAGCGTTGCAATATATAAACTCACAATTCTAAAAAAAAAATGTGAAAATTACAAAATTGAAACACAATTCTGAGAAGGAAAGTCTTAATTCTGAGATAAACTCACAAATGCAAGAAAAAAGTCAGAATTGTGAGAATTAGGGAGTTAAAATACAATTTTAAAAAAGTAATTGCGAGTTTAATTTCACAATTCTAATTTCTTTTAAAAGACGTTAGAATTGTGAGTTTATATCTCGAAGTTCTGTGATTCTCAGTTCTTTTTCTCAGAATTAAAAGACAAGACAATTACCTTTTTTTTTTTAAATCAAATTTATTTATTTTATTTTTTTTACGTGGCAGAAATAAGATTCCATAAATATGTCCGGTTTTACCAGTCTTCTCCATGATTGTATCATCATTTAATGAATTATATCTACCATGATCACTATAAAGTGTGATTTTCAGTATTTAAATCTGTTTATTCAGATGTTTTTTTTATTGCATACAACATTAATTGTGATTGGGCACTGAATTTTGTGAATAAAACGCAACCTATAATGACCCTAATCATATTTTAAATGCGTTATTTCAGCACAGATAGCACTTGGGTAAACCGCATCGTGTGTAGTTAGTGAATAAGATGCCGAAATGCCAGCAATCATGACTTGAGTTCATCACCCCTTTATCTATTAATACCGATGTGCACTCTCTGAGATAACCACAGGGCATCCTGCGAGCTTGTTTTCTCATGAAACATCACAGAACACGAGACTCGGGCTATAAATATCTCACCCAGCCTCTCCTTGTGCAGCAAGATTGCACCGGGCTAATTCAATGAGAAAGAGAGGGGGTGAGGACGGCGAGATAGAGAGAGAGATCGTTTGAAAGAAGAACAGACAGAATAATAAAGTGCTGAACTAAGGCTATCAGGCCCAATAGAGGATAAACAGTATGGATAAATGCAGACCTTTCCTGAGATTAACCCACAATCTAACAGCATTTTTCTAACCTTTAACTCTAGTGTACCTATGCTTGTATTAAAAAGGTACATAAAACGTACAAGTACAAACATACAAAATATGGTGATTTGAGTTGAAACTGATCCAAAGGCAACATATGTTTAATGGATATGGCTTCTCTTTATTATCTAGGCCATATTCAGGTACTTAATTTTAGGGCTTCAGGATGTATTTGGTATCATAATTTATAGTTATGACAAAAGATGTTACAAAACAATCAGAGTTATTAAAACTAGCCTGAGGCTGCACTTTACATATCAAGCAATAAACATTTGGTAGTTTTGTTAATGCTTGTTTTTATGGAATATTTTTTCAATTAATCTCATGACATCTGTTGTACAGATAATTAATCATACCTTTGAAGAACACAAATTTGCCATCTGATCTCTCGTAAGCAGCGTCAATGCGAGGAGGCAAACCCTTCCAGAACTGCTCTATCAACATGGGATAGCCTTCCTGAACTTTGTTGTTGCGCAAACGCCAGAACCAACGATCCTGTGATTAGTAAAAGAGATTATTTAGATCAATTTTATAATGTAGAACTGAGTCGTTTTCAAGTAGGGATACACAATATAAAAAATTTATAATATCGATTAGCCGAAAATTATTTTCACATTACAACTGATAAATGGCCTACTGTGTGAATAAAAAAATAAAAATAAAAGTGAATTTAGGCCATTATAATAATTTGTATGAAAAAAAGATATTAATTTTGAGATTTTTTTTTAAGTATAGGAAATAAATGTGCACAATTAAATATCCAATAATGGTGGATTTTTAAAAAATATTGCATGAAAGCAGTAAAAAAAAAAATAAAGCCAAAATCTCTAATAATATCTCGTGCATCCCTTCTTTGAACAAAACATATTGTATGTTAACAACCACATCAAACCTGTATGAATTTCTTTCTTCTGTTAAGCACAAAAGAAGATATTTTGAAGAATTTTGGAAACCAAACTGTATTTTTTCTTACTATGGAAGACAAAGGCTACCAGCAACTGTTTGGTTACCAACATTCTTCAAATTTTTCTTCCTTTTTGTTCAACAGAAGAAAGTAATTTATAGAGGTTTGGAAAGACATGAGGGTAAGTAAGTAATTTTGGATGAACTATCCCTTTAAAGGGTTAGTTCACCCAAAAATGAAAATTAGGCTGCGTTTTACTCACCCGTTTTACTAGGCATCCTAGGTGTATATGACTTTTCTCTCCCCTGCGCTTCCGCGTTCGTCACTTCTGAGCGGCGCAAGCGCAGCACTGACCTCATACGTCATCCTCCCGGAACTGCTTTTGTTTACAACAGTGAGCGCAAGCTAGATTCAAGTGATTATTACGTTTTGAATATGGATATTTTTCTTACAAAAACGCATCGATTCGCTACAGGAGGCTTTTGTTCACCCCCCGGAGCCGTGTGAGACAATTTTGTTTTATGGATGGGGGATTTTTATTTAAGTTCTTTTGGACTGAAGCAATGCAAAACCCGCTGAGTGGCATTAAACAGCTTGAAAGATCAAAGACCATTTTTAATATAACTCCGACTGGATTCGTCTGAAAGAAGAAAGTCATATACACCTAGGATGCCTCGGGCGTGAGTAAAACGCAGCCTAATTTTCATTTTTGGGTGAACTAACCCTTTAATATAGGGATTACAAGGAATTACAATTCTTGATATCACAGACAACCAAATTTGACTAAAATTAGCTGAATTATGGTATGATCTGCTATGATTTATGATCTGCTTATATAAACCATCTGTATCAAATATTAGAAAGAGAACTGATGCAACTCACCTTAAAAACAAACATCTCTCGTCGAAAGAAGGCCACAGTGTTGAAGTTGCCATCGCAGATGTTGGGTTTTCCATTACCGGGTGAGGACGGCCGATCTCCAGAGGGTGGGCGAGCGGGGCGATGCCGCTCGTGTTTCCTCTCAGAGGTGGAGTGTGTGCGTCGGGCAGGTAGAGTAGGAAGAGGTCGGGTGGGCTCCAGCATGGCTGTGGGAATACCTGTAGAAGAACAAAGTTTATTCATCTAAAAATACATTCAGCCATCCTGGCATCCAAAGTATAATCTATATTCCTGCTTAGTTCCTTGAAAATGATAATAGAGGTGATAGAGATCATAACTGTACCGTAGATTTTCTGGATCCCCTGAAGGTCATCTAGAGGCAGTTTGAAGTTGTGTGTGTCCATGTATTGGTAGAAGGGCGCCATGATCGCACTGGGGTCATTGGAATGTTCCAGACCCAATGCGTGCCCCAACTCATGTACGGCCACCAGGAAAAGGTCATTGCCTGAAAGGAAATGGTTAAAGGTCAAACCCTCTTTGAATCAGTACTATTCAGAATTCTATGTTGGATGAAAAATGTAACAGTATGGCATGTACTGCATGAATAAGAATATGGAAGCAGGAGAATTACCAATGCAAAGCTTAAGGCTCGGCATTTTTGATGTGCATTTTGTTAAAAATAGTCCGAAATAATAAGAGCTCCCATAGAAATTCATCAAACGCTGAATCAGCACAGAAAAAAAAAAATTATTAAAGGAATAGTTCATTCGTAGTTCAGCACACTCGGGATATATAAGTAATGTGCTACTTTTATGGTGTTTTTTCTTTCTTTTGGAGCATGACAGCATCCATACTCATTCGCTTTCCTTGTATAATGCACCTGGGAAATTGCATATGCATAAAAAGTCAATAATCAATGTAAAACTAAACATTTCTGTAAAAGGTGTAGAAACCAGTTCTACGTTTTCTAAAACCAGGTGCAATCCATTTGGTTATTAGTTTAGAGAGGAACAGAAGGTGAAAGCTAATTGACAGGAATTTGCCAATAGTATTTCCCAATACTCAAAATTGTAAGAAAAAAAGTCAGAATTGTGATTTTATAACTCTTAATATTTCTCGCAATTGCGAGCTTGTATCCTGCAATTCTGACATTATAACTCACAATTGCAAGAAATATAAGGTTATAAACTTGCAATTCTGACTTTTTTCTCACAATTGTGAGTTTATTTATATCCCACAATTCTGACATTATAACTCATAATTGCACATTTCTTTTCTCAGAATCTGGAAATATAAACTCAGAATTGTTATAAAGAGTTATAAAGTCAATTTCTGAGGTAAAAAAAAAAAAGTCTGCTCACAATTCTGACATTTTCTTACAATTACGAGTTTATATCTCACAATTCTGAGAAAAAAACTCCGAATTCTGAGATAAAAAGTCACAATTACATTTTTTCTTTTTTTTATACAATGGCGGAAACCGGCTTCCATAAGTTTACAAGATATATTGGAGTCAGAAATATTTTGATCTTTTATATAGTTTATATCTCGAAAATCTGAGAAAAAAATGAACATACTTCAAGAAGCAATTTCCAATCTTATATTCAGTGCGTATACTACATATATATATATATATATATATACACACACACACACACACACATACACACACACACACACTAAATACATAAATACACAAAAAACTATAATTATGTATATAAACTTAAAAATGTATATATTAGCAATATATTTCTTCCACTCCATGTATATTTGTATTATGTGAACATATTTTAAAATATATCTGAAAATACATATTTTGTTGCTGTACAAGTTTACATCAGTTTGCCTTATTTTTTCTTCACTTATGTAGACAGGTAAAAAGCGCTTTATGTACCCAGAATCCTAAAGGAACATATCTTGTGCATGGGCTGCATGTAGTGTTGTCAAAAGACCCGGTACTTCGGTACCAAGTCGGTACTAAAAAAATGAAAATGTTACGGTACCAGGTTTTTTTAAGTACCGGTGGTACCGAAGTACCGGGTCAACCCGGTTCTTGATGCGCTATCAGAAAGGTGCACAGATGCGCTCTCAACTTTTATTAGGGTAAAAAAAACAGGAGGACATGATGATATTTACTATTTTTACACACCAGAGGCTTTTAAATGAATTGTGAATCTAAAATATGCGTGTTAGAGAATGTACAAATGGTTAACGTTGTTTGTGTCATATCAGTCAGAAAAGCAGTGCTGGGCCTTTTTTTTTTTTTTTAGCTAACTTACTTGTTATTCTTGGCTTAATAACTGTAGAAGGTTTTCAAAAGCCCTTTCAAATTAAATAAGTACACAGTTTGGATTAAATGAAAGTATAGTCAAATTTTTTAATTAGCATGTTTTTGTGTTTTGCTTTGGTACCGAAATTGGTATCGAGAACCGTGGATTTTCACTGGTATTGGTACCGAATACTGAAATTTTGGTACCGTGACAACACTAGCTGCATGTGTACGCTATTAACAGAACATGACTCGGTTGAGACTGACATGTTCAGATCTTTGGAAACACAGAAGGGATGTGACACCATATCACTCAAATCACAGAAATAGCCTGATCTGTTGGTTGACGTCTATGGGTGCTACAAGTGTCAGATGGCTCACAAAGTGTCTTGTACATTTTGTTTACAGACTGGATCTCTTGGCCAAAGCTTTTCTTCTTTATCAGTCCTCACGCTCTCTTTCTGTCCAATTTAACTGTGTATTTCATTCCCCGTCTCATTAAAAAGAAATTGATTTTGTGTTCTATCGAGAGTGTCATTGTGAATAAATGAAATATAAAATCTACATCAGCCGCTGAAGATAAATACATCTACTGTTTGTTGTAAACCGTTTACCTTTGATCTGTATCCACTAGAGCTGATATGGTGTATAGAGAACTAGATCTGTAAAGAAATGTGTGTGTGTGTGTGTGTGTGTGCGTGAACAAGGTACAGATTCTGTGGTCTATAAAGCATGTACTTGAACTGCTGACACTGCAGCACACAGGCAAAGATAACACAGCAAATATGCAGCACGCAGGCACGGCTGATGCAAGTGAAGAAAGAACGCAATGCTCAGTGTGTCTTTATGTTTCCCCTGTGACATCTACTGATGCTCCTCAGCTCACTGCTCCAGTTTACCACTGGAGAAGCTCCCAAAAGATTTGCCTCTACACATCTGACTGATCTATCTATCTATAGCTGCAGAACATTCTAGAAAATCCTACACATATTACTATGTCAGAGATTATGAGACCAGACAAGCCAGGTCAATCATTCTATATTTAAGCCATTACCATGCTTGATTAAAGTACATAAATTCACATACATGAAAAATCATAATGAAATAGATCCACAAAAAAAATTACAAAATAAAATAACTATACATTAAAAAATAAAATAATAAAATAAAATCTGAAAAAAATCTATGGAAAAAAAGATGTCAGCGATTATGAGACCAGAAATGTCAATTATTATATATTAAGTCATTACCATGCTTGATTAAAGTAAATTAAATTCAAATAAATGAAAATTCATCATTATACAGATGCAAAAAAAATTTAAATAATAAAATAAAATAATAAAATGAAATTGATCATTAACTCTTTCCCCGCCATTGACGAGTTATCTCGTCTTTTAGAAGAAAACGCTTCCCCGCCAAAGACGAGTTTTTTTACGGCTTTTCTTTCACTGTTGGGACCAGGGAAATATGCGTGAGCTAAAAAACCTCCCTCTCCATCAAACGGAGAACTGTCACCATGGAAACCAGAGGCAAAGAAGATCATGATGTCCGCTTCTTTACCCTCGTTCTTGATCTCAGAGTAGGCCACTTCCTGAAAGGTCAGCGGGGTCACTGTCTGCCAGACGTCGAAGGCCTGGCGAATGGCCCTCTGGGTGTCTTTCTCGCCCACCTTGGGGGTGAAATTATGTATGCTGGAAACAGGGAGAGATGGAAGAATACAGAAAAAAAAGATCACGCATTCTTAATATTATAATGTATGACCTGATATTAATTCATTAAAATTAAATATTATGTGGAACAATGCACTATTAAAATGTTTTTAAAGTTCTCCTGTAGCTCAACCATGGTAAAACATGGTGCAAAGTGTACATTTTGAATATACTGTATCTACTACATGCATAAAATGATAAGCGCAAAAAGCAAATTAAAAGGGTGAAAAACAAAACATACAAACAAATTTGAAATGTTGCCTTGGCAACTAACTGAAATAAGTTTAATAACTAAAATGAGTAAATCTGAAATAAAATAAATAAATTAAAGCTAAATAGAAATATATATATATAAAAAAAAAAATAATAATAAAAATGACAAAAGCACTTAACCAAATTACCAAAACTTAAAACTAAAATTAAAATGAAAACAAATAAATAAATTAAAGCTAAATAGAAATATATATATATAAAAAAAATAAAAATAATAAAAATGACAAAAGCACTTAACCAAATTACCAAAATTAAAACTAAAATTAAAATGAAAAATAAAAAAATAAAAACTAATCCAAACTATTAATTGTACTATAATAATATATAATTAATATTGAAATAACACTGCCTGCATATATATTTTTCCATATCGCCTTTCCCATGACAGTATGCAGTGCACTACCACCAACCTACTCTCTCAGTGTGCTGGTGTGTTTGAGAATAGAAATGTTGTTTCAGTATGAATCAACTCTGCAATAAATTAAAAGCGAATGCCGTTTGAGTTCACAGCGCTGCGCTGTTACATAAGAATTAATCTGCATTAAAAATGTCCTTGAATGTAGGGCAAAAGTTAAACCAGGCCAGACACCTAAGGCAGAAGCAGATGGTTGTCTCTGGCACACAACTGCAGGCACACACAAGTGAGAATTTCATTAACCAGTGATTACAAACCAAGTTCAACACTGCATTAGATGACTAAATGAAATTAATAGAGCTTTAAAACGGACGAAAGCAGACAAATGTTTGAAAATGATCTGATTTCATGTTTACGCTAATATGAATGTACCACAAGTACAAAATGTCCCTTTTGTTCAGCTCATATAAGCTGAGTCAGCATCATGTAACCAGCAGAAACGCTTTCAAGCCACAACATGCAAAAATATAGCTTTCTTCTGTTTACAATGATTTTATTTGTGTTTATATATATAGTCTAAGATATAAATATACATATATATATCTGTAATTTAATGAAAATTAAATAAATTATATATAAAAATTCATGTCTTATTACATTTTATTTTTTATAATAGATTAAAAATGTATATAACATTTTATTCTATATCATTAATTATATTATTTATTAAAAAACTATATATGTATATAAACAGTATATAGAGTATATATATATATATATAGTCATTTAATATAAATAAAAATATATTCTCATTTATTTTACACATATGTATATATAACATTTTATTCTTTTATTCTAAATTATTTAATTATATAATGTAGCTTTAGGTTTCAGTGAAAGACATGTATAAACTTACTTTTTTTTTTTTTTTATAGGTTGAGTGGGTTTTGGGAGGCATAATAGCAAGAAAACCACTCAAAGTACTAAGCTTTCATCAACTATTCGTCTTCCATCCTGACCTGCGACATTCCTTGCTTTCTTTGTTTTTTTTCTCTCTCTCTCTCTCTCTCTGTCCCATCAGGCAGAAAACAAAAGCTTCTTTAAGCATTTTTAAGGTTGGAGGGAAGCATTTCAGCAATGTCTGTCTGGAACATTGCGTAAGCGGCATGCGTTCCAAAACATACGCACACGTGTCAATGCGATATGCACTAAAATAATTAAAGATGAGGGTACAAATATACTCCACTGGCTGGCTTCAGCGAGATGCTTAATGGGCTGCCATTAAAGAGCATCACATCATGTGAGGTACAGTTATTAACAGGCATATGGAGTTTTTGGAACATTTCCCTGTAATAGCATACAATGGTCATTCATCTATAAAGAGTAAACCGTTTTTGTAGTTTCCTCTAGAGGTTCCTCAGGTGCAATATTCAGTGAATTAGTCTATCCATCCATCATGTAAGCTTTGTATTTAAACAGTCTCTGAATATATACCTTACCTGTATGTGATCTTTTTCTCCCTCCATTTCTGACCAGTGAGGGCGTAGCGTTTATTTCTCCTCCGTCGGCTGATGTGAGGGTGATCTGGAACTCCACACCGAGGTTTTCTCATCCACCTTAAAACATGTAGATAATAATCACACCCAAGGACACTGCACAAATGTCAGAGAAAACTCTTAACAGTAAGTTTATGATCTTCACACTACTGTACATCAAATATTTTAAATGCAGTGCTAAAATCACATGGAACACCAACAAGACCAAAAACATGCATTAAGTAAATAAACAGGATGAATATCCATGTTTAGTTTATATGCACAAGAACATGTTTTTATAAACTATATGGCAACTGAAATTTTTATATAAGGTCTAAAATTTAAGAAATTACATAAACTATAAATAGTTGTATCTTTAACAATGAACAATCATAATGACAAAAAACAGAAAACAGAAATATAATTGGTTTGCGTACATCATAGTATAAGATTATATACACAGGAAAAAAAGCACAATGACAAGGTTAAATATCTTTGAATAATCATAATATTCATATAATCATTATCAACCCCAAATTTATTGGTTATACTACAATCACAAAATAAATGGGCAGCTGTGTCTTAAACAAGTTTAATCAACATCAAAATATTTACAGATAGATTAATTAAACCTGTCACTCACATATTTTAAGTTGTTGCACTTCTTATAGCGTCTTAAGTCACATGATAACATCAACATGGCGGATGATGTCCGGATCTTATTCTTACTTCATGCATTCAAGCTATAGAGTACGTACTCTTCTAGCACTCGTTAAGGAAGTACTTATTGAAATTAAGTACCTAATCAGTGAGTATGCGGTTTTGAATGCAGCCAGTGGCTTTTATTCGTCTTCCTAAACAACCATTAGTCTCTCTGTTGCCCCCATCAGCTCTGGAGCACTTATTACATTTAATGAAGTTACTGCCGTTTAACTGGTGCGCAAGTTGATGTTCTCTGAAAATTTTGGAGTCTGAGATAAGTTCTACTTTAGTTTTTGAGCATATTACCTTGATCTAACTGGTTATGTGATCCAATACAGAAACTCTCATGAGGGGGCGACTTTAAACACTACTGTTCATCTTATTAATGCATATGCACTTTAGCAGCTATATTGCCTGTTTGTGATTTTTTTAAAGAGTAAGTGATGCAGTAAAGAGGGTTGTTACTAACTCGATGGTGGTTTGGTCAAGCACTCCCGTCACTGGAATACCATAAAACCGCTGCATGGCAGCGACCGCTGACTGCATGGCTTTCTCCGATCGCAGGTCCGATGTCCGGATGTCATGAGGGAGCAGATAGCCATAGTTCTTCAGCCATGTCTAAAAAAGAAAGAGACATTAAATTAAGAACTAAAGGCAGGGTTATTATAGTTAAAGGGTTAGTTCACTTATTTCTGTCATTAATTACTCACCCTCATGTCGTTCCAAACCCGTAAGACCTTCGTTCATCTTCGGAACACAAATTAAGATATTTTTGATGAAATGTGAGAGCTCTCTGACCCTCCATAGACAGCAACGCAACTGTAATGTTCCCAGGTCCAGAAACGTAGTAAGGACATCGGTAAAACAGTCCATGTGACATCTGTGGCTCAACTTCAGTTTTGCGAAGCTATGAGAATACTTTTTGCGCACAAAGAAAACAAAAATAACAAAATGTATTTATTAATTCTTCTCCCCCGAGTTACGTCTTCCGCCATTTTGGAGAGTACCCAAGAGTGTAATCGTCGTAATCAGCGTTGTTTACATTCGGGGGAGAAAGCGAGTGCATGAACGTAATCTGTGTAATCAGTGTTATTTACGCTTAGGGAAAAGTGTGCGTATGCGTTGTGATACTCTCTAAAATGGCGGAAGAAGTTAAAAACATCATAGACAAATTTTGAAAAAAATAAAAACAGCAAAAACAAAATTGCACATGAAAATGAAAAATATAAATATAAAAAATTATTCAAAATATTACTAAAACTATTATTTCAATGGTAATAAAATAACACTGACTAAACTGCATTAAATACTGATGCCAATGAATGCAATATATCTAGAAATATATCTAGAATGTGAAAAAAACAACTGCAAAAGGCAATGTAATTTTTCTGAAATTATCTTAATAGCCATCAATCAGTATCAGAACTGGAGAAAAAATTTAAGCTTTTTGAATGGAAACCGTAAGAGATACAGACTAAATTAAGACTTAAAATCATATCTTAAATTATTCTGACAAAAAAGTGAACAGTAGGAGCACTATCAAGTTTTAGGTTCATACAGAGGTGCTATCTTTAGAGTAAGTAATCATTTATGCCATTCTGTTTTTGATGCTAGTGCGCAGAAATTACGCACTTAAATATGCATGAAACTAAGGGAGAATATTTTTTTAGTGAGCGAATGTTTAAAAATGCTAACTTGATGGCATTGCATTTTGTCTCAACAGCAATATTAGTTTGATGCATAACAGGCCGCAGACTAGATAAGTCAGCCGTACGGCCTAAGAAGGCCTTAGACTTTCTATCACGTGATAAAACAGAAATAGAGAAAACTACAGGCACACTGGGTTCCTAAACACACTGGGTATGTACTAAAATAACTAAAAGTTAATTAATAAAAACATCATAGACAAATTTTGAAAAAAATAAAAACAGCAAAAACAAAATTGCACATGAAAATGAAAAATATAAATATAAAAAATTATTCAAAATATTACTAAAACTATTATTTCAATGGTAATAAAATAACACTGACTAAACTGCATTAAATACTGATGCCAATGAATGTAATATATCTAGAAATATATCTAGAATGTGAAAAAAAGCAACTGCAAAAGGCAATGAAATTTTTCTGAAATGATCTTAATAGCCATCAGTCAGTATCAGAACTGGAGAAAAAATTGAAGCTTTTTGAATGGAAACCGTAAGAGATACAGACTAAATTAAGACTTAAAATCATATCTTAAATTATTCTGACTAAAAAAAGTGAACAGTAGGAGCACTATCAAGTTTTAGGTTCATACAGAGGTGCTATTTTTAGAGTAAGTAATCATTTATGCCATTCTGTTTTTGATGCTAGTACGCAGAAATTACGCACTTAAATATGCGTGAAACTAAGGGAGAAAACACAAATTGTATCAATAAACAGACCCTGTCTAGGTCAGCCACCTCAAATAAACTCCAATTGTTCTCAAAGCTCGGTTCATTTCACATGCTCCTTGATCTCAACATATTTAACAGCACAAAAATAAAACTGAACTTATATAGAGCATCCCCATCCTCATCCTCTCATTCCCTCATCTCAGCCTCCTCTCTCTGCTTTCATCTCTCCCTGCGGATGGGCAGAGTGGAGAACTAGTAAGCAAAGCCCTCATTTTAAAGCGCTGCACACATGGAGAGGGGCTCTTTAATTGAGCTCATGGCTTAGAGTCCATTTTCAGCATGAATATTTTAATGCTGGAGTTTCTGGTCCTTTCCTTCTCAGCATGAAGCAGGACCATCACAAACAGTGAGTCAATGCTTCAAATGGAAATCAATCCTTAGGCCGCTCCAAGAGAGCCACATATAGTTCATTAGAATTAAAAATAGTGCTCTCTATTTTCTAAATTTTTTGTGTTTGCAAACAGAATCAACCACATCTATTGTATAACCTAAGAATTTAAAAATGTCATTTTAATTTAAAATTACACCACAAAACAGACTAAACTTATTTGAGATTTGAGTATCTAGAGACCAGAACATCAGAGACCTAAAGGTGGACTCTTTTGACTTGAGCCAATAATAAACCACCTAGCAACCACCTAGAATACCCTAGCAACCATCTACCTGAAATAAAATAAACATTAACTGAAATAAAATAAAATATATATATATTTTTTTTTTTTTAATTGCCAAGGCAATATTTTTCAGTTTCATTTAGTTTAACTAAAATAACTAAAACTGAATATATTTAAGGGGGTCTGAATACTTTCCGTACCCACTGTATATATATATATATATAAACATTAAAAAAAAAAAATTAAAGATTAAAAATAACAAAAACACTGAAATTGAAATGGAATATATACATATATATAAACAAAACATGAAATATGCCTAAAACTAATAGCATCTTAATGACACTAAAATAACGCTGACTAAAGGGCATTAAATACAGATGCCAAGATAATAATGGAAATATATATAAGAAATATATCTAGAAATATATCTGTATCAATTTAATTTTCCTGAAACCCTTTTGACATCCATCAATCAGCCATCAATAGCAACTCCCAAAAAACTAACCAGAAATCCCTATGAAAAACTATGGTGTTGTAGCTAGTTTTTCATGGAACTGCACCAATTAAAAATCTAGTTCTGCAATTTAAATTAAAATTTTCATAAAATGTTAAACCAACACCAACATCATACTCTTTACTGTTGAAATGCATTGATAAAGCATCTCTCTATATAAATATGCATGAATATAATGCACAGATGTATAACATTATTTTGCATATTAAGAATGCTGAAACGCAAACTTCACATTGTACCAGTGAGTACACCCTTCTTTGACATGGCTCCATGGTAACAGAGGCTCAGCACGGTCCCCTGGGAAATCGTAACCATTAAATAATTCACCAACGCTGTTACAGCAAAGTCTGAAACCAGCACTAGACTCAACAATACATGTCTCATCCACTTTGATAAATCAACGAAGGCTGTGAGATCTGAAGAACACAAAAGGACTGTGACAGTTCAGCCCCGTGAATAATAAGCCTTATTTAAGCCGCAGGACTATTTCTGTTCCGGTACTTTGCAGGAATCAGTGGAATTCAGTTCAAAGTCAGAAAACCACATTTCTCTGGAAATATAAATGATACATTGTTCTTGTGAACTGCACTGTCTTTCCAAACCTGTATGACCTTCTTTCTTCTGTGGAACATAAAAGGAGAAACTTTGTATAATATACTTGCCATTCCTGTTCATATAACATCATCTATTGGGGATACAAATTGTCAAGCTCCACACAAAACAAAAAGCACCATAAAAGTAAAACTTGTAATGTCCCATTTTGGAGTAGAAAATATATTCCTCAACATTTCTTCTTTTATGTTCCACAGAAGAAAGAAAGTCATAAAGCTTGGGTGAATAAATGATTTTTTTGGTCAACTAGCCCTTAAAGGAATAGTTCAAAGTAAATGAAAATTTGCTGAAAATTTTCTCACCCTCAGGTAATCCAAGACATTAATGGGTTTGTTTCTTCATGGGAACAGATTTGGAGAAATTTAGCATGGCATCACTTGCTCACCCGTGGATCCTCTGCAGTGAATGGGTGCCATTCTCATCTACATCTTGGATAGCCTTAAGGCCCGTTCACACCAAGAACTATAACTATAAAGATAACTATAAAGATAACGATATTAGCGTCCACACCAGCGAACAATATCGTCTGTTTATTCTAAGCGCACGCGCGTCTGCCTCTTTAAATTCTCGAGCTCGTCACAGCAGGATGGATTCTGATTGGCTGTCAATGTTTTTATCGTTCATCAGCTGGAAAAAAATCGCTCTGAAAGTGATTCCAACGATATCGTTTCTCTGTGCCTTTATCGTTATAGTTGTGGTGTGGACTCTGCTATTCTTTAATACTGAGAACGATTTTTAGAACTATATCTTTATCGTTTTCTTTATAGTTATCGTCCTTGGTGTGAACGGGCCTTTAGGGTGAGTAAATTTTCAATAATGTAAATTTTTTGGTGAACTATTCCTTTAAATCTTCAGAGTTAACCTTCTGTAGTAACTAAGTGCGGGAACTAACCACACTGGTTAAACAAAGTAATCCTTTTCACAATGAACAGGGATACTGCACAGTAATAATTCACAACCACATTATTCATTGTTCTGACCTCAGAATTTTTAACAGGGAATTTGACAATAATAGTCCAGACTATACTGTATGTTCAGAATAGCACACTAGCTACTCTTTCTATTTCGGTATATAGTTTATATACTTTGCACAATTATGCATGAAATAGTGAAGTGCACAAACAGAGTACACTTTGCAGCATCCTGCATCCCACAATGCAATGCCCCCGACAGCACAATTCTAGTGTGACGAATGTTCATCTCTTTCTTTACACTTTTGACTGGATTGTTAATCAAGAGTTTTAAATGCCTATTTTCCGAATATTTCTGAGCCAATAACTGGATGTCATTGGCTAAATTAAACATGCAATGTTATGAGGTCATGTAGCAAACTATTGTTTGAAATTGCATTCTTTTTCAACATAGTTTTTTTAAAAGAGTATGATATACAAATTGCACAGTATACATGATGTAGAGTACTCAGTACTCAGTAAGCTA